GATACCATGTACACTCATTCAAATAACAAAAAGCAAATGAGGGAGTTCTATATCTCCCTTTTCTACTGGGGCGATTGACGAAATTCAGCTTGTGTTTTTCATGTCTCGAAAGCACTGCTTAGGATATGTATGTATTAGATTTACATATGAAGTTTTTCTGACGTACGTATTTTAATACAAAGTCGGACTTTGTCGGAAATGGCACGCTTATTTTTCAATTCTGCAACTCAGATCATGCCTAAAAGCCACATTTTGTGAAATTCGGCGTTTAGGCAAATTTTGCACAATTTATTTTTTAATTGATTTCAGTTTCCTCTTCATTCTGCGCGAGCGGAAAAAAAAAAAAAAAAAAAATATCGCTTTTTCTTTTCTTGAAAATTCTTTCTTGAAACTTCATATCGTATTTGTTACAATTATTTATTATGTTTAAATTTTTAGCCCAAAGGGCGTTACCCTGACGGGCAATTAATTTGCTTTTGGCATTTTGCGTTGAAAATTTTAAATGTCGATACATTTTTCAAATTGTTGCCACCACATATTAGAGCCCTGTCGTATATTTAACGAAATTAAATAATGAAGAATCTGCATAAATGTAAGTATGTTTCTCGCATTGTGATAAAACAAGGGTACCTAGTATACCTACTTAGTATATCAAATTTTGAAAAACGTTCGTTTCCATCCGAATGTGGGCATCTGGAAGCCGGAATTTGGATTTTTTTAAAAAAATTATCTATTTCATATTTTGTGAAACTTTAACGAATTTTTGATTAACAGTCTCAGCGATTTCAAAGCGAGCAGTGGCAACACTGTATGGAATAACTAAATAAATGAATAAACTTTTATCTCTAGCGCGCGAGACTGTGTATCGGAAATATCTTTAATATGCTCATTTTAAAATTATTTTGCGATACTGCTGTTGAACTAAATTTTATGGTGTAAGTGCGAAGAACATTATATTTACTAATAAATGAAGGTAATACACAAAACGTTAAAAAACGCCCTTTTTGGCGTAATGTAAAATCGGAGAGCTTTCAGAATTTTAATTTTAATGTTTTTTTTTTTTTTTTAAATTTCAATTTGAGTTCCATTGTCGAATTATAGTTCTTCAAATAATTATTTTCAAAATTTCTATTTATTCATTCACATTGTGTGTTTTAGTACTTTAACCACGTTTATTCATATGTATAAGCCCAAAAAGCCGTTAGCCCGAATGGGCTATTAGGCTCGAGACGAAATTTTGCGTCGGCCACTGTAAACGGCTGTATGAACGGCCTTTTCAAATTGTTGCCCACAAATATTATCGACTTGTTACTTTTAAATAAATTAAATAATGTAGAATCTGCATGTATGTATGTATGTATGTATGTATATTCCTCGAATTATGAAAAAAAAAGACGGTACCTAGAGCCATGAAATTTTGAATATCGTATTCCTTCGTCCACCCGAATATGTGCATCTGAAAGCATGAATTTTGAATTTCGAATGTTGTATTTCATATTTTTTAAAATTTTAATGAATTTTTGATTAACGAACTCAAAGGTAAGAAATCGAGCAGTGGCAACACTGTGCGAAATAAAATATTTTTATCTCCAGCGCGCGAAACTGTCTATCGGAATTTCTAAAGATGTACTGTTTTTAAATATTTTGTGACATTACTGTTGAATTTAATTTTATGTGACGTAAGTGCGGAGAATATGACGCTTAATAAATAAAGTTAACACAAAAAAAAAAGGTTTTGCAAGCCATCTTAATAGGAAAACTGAGCATTGGTATGGTAAACAGAGAAAAAACCGAAAAAGAAAAAATAAATAAATAAATAAATAAAATAAGGATAAGGAAAATGTATGCCAACTCTTTACACTACATTGGGAATTCTAAACATATTGTGCTCTTTTTTTTTTTTTTTTTTTTTTTTGTTTTGTTGTTGTTGTTGTTGTTGTTGTTGTTGTATATGGCCTAAATACGAAGAAAATGATGCTTAATAATTAAGCTAAACGATAAAAAGAAATGGGTTAGATAGCGGAAGCGAGAGTAACAGCAGACTGATAGACTGCGAGTTCAGCGAGAGCGTAAAATGCTTTAACAAAATCCTCTTGGGTGATCGTTATAACCTGAAACCTTTCTGTTTCTTCCTTTTTTACTTCCTTGTACGAAATAAAAAGGAAGTATTGTAATCGCGAAAAGTTTCAGGCAACATATTTCAACGAATATATCCATTTTGACCGTTTTCAAATGCAATTTGACGATTTATTTGCGTGATATCTGTACGTAAGGACAGGATAAAAGACTCTTTTCTTCCAAAAATATTATAAAACTGTTTTAAAATGAATTCTGAAGAGAATTTTTCGTGGTGCCTGTACGTACGTATGTATATATCTCTCATATCTCAAAAACGATTAGCTTCAGAACGTTGAAATTTTGTATAGGACTACTATAACATGCAGATGTGCACCTCGTATTTTGGTTGCAATCGGCCGCCCCAAACGTATATAAATATATTTATATATATATATATTAATTGAAAACCACTCTGTTACCCGACTAAGTGATATCAGTTTCTTTACTCTTATATGTTTGTAAATTGTACATTTTTTTGCTTTAAAAATGATTGAATTATGTTGTTCTTATCTTCCGGTTGAGGTTTCTATGCCTTTAGTAAATCTGTATGCAATTTTTTTAGAATTATCAACAATTTTAAACTTGTTTAAGGGCCGCTAAGCCTAATATTTTTTTTGATAGTGGCCATTCCTTGTTTACATTTGAAACAGCAGAATAGTATATTTTTTGCCAATCTAGAGAGACTAAGCTTCACAACAACAAAGATAACGCCTTCATTTATTATTGCGATTTAAATCATGCTTAATCGTTTCTGGAATTTTTTCGAAGAAATAAGTGTTTAAGATTTACTTCGTAATTTTTAATACAGATATTTTGAGATTTTATACATTTTCGCCTTGTCGCGAAGTGAGAACGGAATTAATTGAATGAGAAATACTGAATCGTCTGTGAAAAACCGTTTCTTTTTTGTTTTCTTTGTTTAATTTCTTTTATACATCGTTCTAGCTTTATTATAGTATTTGAATAGAACATGTGACAACGATTTTATAATTCTTTAAATGATATAAATTTTGTGCATTCTGAGTTATAATATGAACGAAATATAATACTGTTAAGTGAACCTAGCGCCAGAGTGTCGCTATGGTAAACAAATAAAGTAAATTTTAAAGAGTGCATTTATTCTATTGTGGTTTATGCGCTGTCGGCGAAGTAGGTTTAATCCAATTCAATAAGTTTAAACGAAATGTAAGAAAAAATGCGTATAATTTACTATTCCGTACAAGGAAGTCATGTGGTGTACATATCAGATTTTTTTAATATTTGAGTTCTTAAAAAAATATGTTAGCAGTTTTAAATATATGATATTTTAGTGATAATATTCATTAGTTCAATAATGTTTTTTCTCTTGAAATTTGTATTTGAGCACTTTGTGTTTTATACTGAAATAAAGTAAACACTAAAAAGCGGAGAACTGCGTTCAAGGCACTAATAAATCTGTGAAATGAGATACCATTTAAAAGTAAAAAAATTGCAGGAAGTGTTTATAGTATTATTTAAAAATAGATAAGTATATCTGACATAATATGGCAAGAAATATGTATTAACATGCATTTCCGTATATACCTATGTAACGTAACTATAGTGTAACGTGACATAACTATAGTATATAGGCAGTTTTATGGGTTTGTTATAAATATCTTCTCTTGTCCCCTTATTTTCTTCGTATTATACTTTTATTTTCCTAGCCACGGTTGCGAATAGATGCCACATCACCTTTTGTTTAGTTGTATATATGAATTGGCTTCTAAATCGGAGTTTCACAATTCACTATTCATTCATGCAGTGCACTAAAGCATTTGTTTTCGTAGACTATGTATTTATATCTGAAGAATGAAGCAGCAAGTCGGTAAGGAATATGGAAAGTTGATATAAAAAATAAAAATATATCTTAGCTTTTAGTTTCAGTATTACAGTGTTATTTTTCGTAATATTTTTTAAGCCTTTAGTTTAGTGTAATTATATTTTAATATAATTATCAACGAATTCGAAGGTAATCATGCTTGAAAATGAGCTTTTTAGTGTAATGTTCGTTGCAAATTCTGTTACTAAACTTGCCTTCTAGTGCCGAGGGGATAAGACCGCTGAAATACTAGTAGTGCGACCTAGGTTCAGATCCTTGCGACCGGGTATACTTCATGGCCATTTTCATGACTGTCTGCATGTCAAAGTAAAGCAAGCCGCTTTTCCTTAAGAAGTACTCTACGAAGGCATCTCTGTCCTTAGCCAGACAGCCCAATGTTCTTCTCATAATGAACTAATTCAGTCCATTACTAATCTGTAAGTTGTTCGTTTGAAAATTACTTTTCTCTCTCAAATGATAATTTAATCGTTTAAGTTACGCCAGTGAAACACTATTCGATTAAGCAGTCAGAGTAATTAGATAACAGAGAAAATTTGTGACAAGATTACATTTTGGCATGTTAGAGACTTCGTTGTTCCATTACCGATGTTAGTGTTTTAAATGATAGCTTTCGCTATCTAGTACTTCAATAATCAGGTGTATGAAAAATTTTAATACGTATTTCTCGATATCTTGTGCAGTTTGCGCAACTAAAAGTCCCTTTTTGTCTTCATAATACGAAAAGCTTCTATTTAATATTATTCTAATTATCTCAGAAGTTTATTTTTGTGCGGTCTGATGTGTATTAATTTATCTAATAACCCCCATTTCATCAAAACATTAGTTGAAGAATACTTATTTGATTCGAAAATGTTATCTATTCAGCGATGATGCTTTTAATTCCTCTTCCCCCGCGCTTGAATGACTATTCATTTTTCAAAAGAAGGCGATGCTTATCTATCTTTCTGATAATGAATAGAACGGGAGTGATATCGTGATTTTAGAACCGAAGCTGAAAATGTTGTTTTCTTACACAGTGAAATAACTGCTCTCGAATCATCATGAGTAAGATTCAAGCTTTTGTCGATGTAACGAAGAAAGTCGATCTAACAAATTGCAGTATTCAGAAAAGTGATGCAGAGACCAGGGTGCATACCGTAAATTTACGGTTCACGTACATAGCCACAGTGGCTGGTCTTCTGTACGTTATAATCACGGGCATGATGGCTACTTTCTCTGCAGCTGCAACTGTAGATATGCAGAAGCCAGGAAGCCGATTCGTACATATAACTGAGGAGGAAATTTCTTGGATTGCTAGTTTGCCACTTTTAACTGCAGCTTCTGGCAACATTGTTTCTGGTGAGTACCATTTTATTTATTTATTTTTATTTTGATAACTATTTTTTTTAAAGTTTTATATTAAAAACCATCGTGGACGATGCCATTAGGTACTAAGTTTCTTTCATTCTATAGACATAATTAACTCTACGTTTGTTGTGCATGTTATAAATATCTTGGCAATATGAATTTTTGCAATGCAAATATCTGCACTTTTTTTCCTCACGAATCTTAAAGGAGTATCTGAGATTAGTGATTATGTAATTTCCCATGAATGTCAAATAAAATCTGATGTTTCAGAAAGTTTCCTCTTACTCTTTTCAACTTCTAGTATAATGTTTAGATTATTTTTTATGCTTAAAAAACTTTAGTACCTTTTCCTATTTTATGCTTATATAACTTCAGTAACACTATTTACAGGCAGTGTGAAATAAATTCTTGAGATTCTTGCAAAGATGTTTAGATAAACCGATTAATTTAAAAAATAGAGCCCAGAAAGCTATCTAATTATGCGCACGGCTTGACTAAAACTGCCTCATCAAAGTGCAAAATGATTTTAAAAAATGCTGAATTGATTAAAAAATTGCAATGTATCAGATATTTCAGCGCATTCAAGCCGAGCACTGTGTTCCATAACATATTGTGGGTGTCGTGTTATTACAATTCATAGTTTTATATTTAAAAGGAAAGCGAAAGAAAGCTTGGAAATTTAAGGCTATGTTTTAAAGGACAGCAGCAGCGTTTTTTCTCAGTAAACCCTAATTAATTTTAGCTCATATTGACTTTAACCTTATCTATCATCCTAAAATCCGAGAAGCCTTTTTGAGGTTAATGGAAAGGAACGTGACGAGTTATACATACTATTATATGTCACTAAAGCAAACTGCTGTTGGTTTTTAGTAGACCAGAGCGATTTGAAATTGGCATAATGTACAGATAACTAATGAAACGGTATTGTTACGAAATGCCCAGCCGCGGTAAGATAGCTTCTCCGCAAAAGGGAGCGTATGGTTGCCAGAAAATGGCAAGGAGATGGTAGGGTTGCCAGATTTGGCATGTAGTTGCCCATTTGGAGATGAATTGGCGACATGCTATAGACAAAACGAGAACATTTTCGAACGAATTCTTACCGGTTTGCTCCAGAATGTTCTCGAAGGCAGGCCAAAAGCTATATAAACCTTGCTTGTGTGTACACGGAGTAGTAGTGTATCTTGAGTTTTATCGTGAAGAGTATCTTGAGTATGTTGAGCTCCGAGAGCGATCGACCGAGTCGGAAACTGTATTTAGTAATTTGTCGTGAAGTTGTCTTTACCGTTATAGCCTGAAGCCTGTGTTGCTGATTTTTTCAGCGTGTTTGTCGTTTGTGTTTTCATTCTTCATCAAGTGTTGCTTTCAGTCCTTCCAAATCCACGAACTCGTAGAACGCAACAACATTTTTAGCATCTAAGAATTTCAATGATTTCTGTGTTATCTAAGATGCATATCTCCTATCTAAACGTGGTGATGGTGCTGTAATAGAGGTCGTCGTTGATTTAAAGGAATATCGTATATAGTTTTTCTCTGAAAAGTTGCATGACTAAATATCTCTTGAAAGTTTGATTGCAGACTCATGGTTTCAGTTTAGAAATGAATCAAATAATATAATGCTTTTAGACGATAAAATGTTTATAGTCTTTTAACAGCTGTTGCTAAAGATATGCAAAATTTTAATTTGTAGGTATATCTTTTGAAAAGAACCTCCATTATTAAGTACTAACTTTATTAAAGAAATTTATTTGTATATTTTATTACCAGTCTGGAATACGTGGAATACGTTGTGTTTTACTCAAAATAAGCATTGGTTAAAGGTAAGATTTAAGCAATTTTGCAGAGCAATCAAGTCAGTTTAGGGGCAGTGTAAAAATTAAATTTCAGTGGATATAAAATTTGGAATTATTTAGCATTTTTACTAATGGATATTAGTAAATTATATAATAATGGATAATGGATATTAGTATATTTCCAGCTTTTTTACAACCAATAGATATCTATATAACCTAGAGCCTGATATCTTTCTTCTCTTATTGAGGAAGCCTTCAGTCTTTGTGTTAATGAAGGTCTCAGTTCTGACATCTGAATTCTGAACGATAGCCGATGATCTATTCAGCAACTGGCTGAATGGTGAAAACATGGTAACAGTACGACTGTTAATATTGTTTAACACTTGGGCCGCTTGAATGCCCATAATAGGATTTTCTTCCAGTGGGGCAAGGCCTCTATTCATGAGTGGTAAGATTTATTTGTCCTGGTGCTGCGGTTCAAACAGTAGATGTGAACAGACACCTCTCGTTAGATTCCGCAGTGATCATTTTCGTGCTCAACGACATGAGGCAAGCGTTAAAGTTTCCCGAAATACAGTTTGACCCAGGCCACTCCTGCCCATATTGTATCATGTACTGTTTTCCTGAAGAGCCAGCTGTATTCCAGTCCGGATGCAGTTCTTCATTGTATGAAAATGTGCGGGTTCATGGACTTGATCTAGATGTTGCTGTCGATCAAGTGGGATAAGAAACAACAGCACTAATGGATATGTGAAACACACGCTTTTGTATTAATATTTATCTGACATCGGAAAAAGCTCTTCTAGTAATTCTCTTACTTTAGAACTTAGTGTGCATAACTGTTTTATTAATTTTTGTAAATAAATCTTAAAAATTTCAATGATGAAACACTATGTAATTTCAATCGTATAAAATGTTTTGACAGATTTTGCTGAATAAAATAATGACCTCATTTATATCTGCCTCCTAAGGGGTTACTAAAAAATTTAAGCGTTTTTTATTTTTATTAAAAGGCGTCACAAAACTAAACTTGTCGCAGTCCGAAAGCTTACTTTTCTTGATTTATTTCATAACAGAAACTATGAGTTCTCTGTCTTTCTAGAGACATTCAGTTTCGAAATCTTTTGGAAACATCTTGTATGTTAAAATCCTAGCTATATTTTTTACGCTTTACCATTTTTTATATCAGCTTAGCTTAACCTTAGAATATTAATATATTTATCCTATTTCTATGAATAAAAGTGATCCTATTTTGCTGCTAATTTTGTCCTGTACTTTAAGCATTATTGTTTACATAATTTTTTTTGACTTAATTTCATTTCAGGTTATGCATCACAAAAATTAGGGCGGAAAGCCGTGCTGATGTATTTCTCTGCCCTGTACTTATCTAGTTGGTTAATGATTGTCTATGCCTCTTCCATAGGATGGATTTACGCTGGCCGAATAATCTGTGGTTTCTGCTCCGGTATGTTTAATGTTGCCATTCCAATATACGTGGCTGAAATTTCTGTGACGGAAATAAGAGGATTTTTATCATCGGGATTCCAGATAGCCGCTAGCGGAGGTATGTTACTAACCATGTGCTTGGGTGCTGTCCTAAGATGGTCTTGGCTAGCAATGACAGCAGCGATAATCACCACATGTGCGGCATGTCTTATGTACTTCATGCCGGAATCTCCACCCTGGTTGATTCGCCATTCCAAGAATACCGATGCTGTAAAAGCACTGGAGATGTTAAGAGGAAAAGACAGCGATTTCATGAAGGAATTTCGAGAAATTTCTGATGGCCAAGCAAAGCTGTCGACTGATAGCATACGTCTGCGTGACATTCTTGATCCAGCTTTGTACAAAGCTTTAGGAATTGCTGTAACCTTAATGTTCTTTCAGATGTTTTGCGGTATGAGTGTCCTCATTGCTTATACGGTAGAAATATTTCAGAGCTCTGGAAATTTTGTAAATGCATCAGTAGGTTCGATAATATTCACAGCTGTGCATGTGCTCGCAGCAGCTGTTAGTAGCACTCTGATGGACAGAATTGGGCGTAAAAAATTGTACATAACTTCTGGAAGTTGTATGATATTAGCTTTAACAGTACTTGGTATTTACAGTCTTATGTCCAGTGACAATAAAATAAATTCAAGCTCCTTTGGTTGGATTCCACTGACATGTTTTATATTTTATATGATAGCTTTTGCCACTGGATATGGACCTATTCCTTATGTTATGATCCCAGAAATAGTTCCTATTCACAGTCGAAGTACAGTGATGGCCGTTGCATGCATTTTCGGTGCTTTGTCTGGTTTCTTGGCGACAAAAGTATTTTATGCTATGAAGTTTACTCTAGGTATGTACGGAGTGTACTGGACGTACGCACTTTTTTGTTTTCTAGGTTGCATCTTTTGTTATTTCTGCATGCCAGAGACTAAAGGGAAATCAATAAATGAGATAAATTTGTCCTTTGCTGCTTCTAACCGCGTTGCTTTACCGAAATAAAATAAGTCTTAGTTTTTATCACTTGTTTAGATTAAGAGTTAGGATAAAAATCAGAATTTTAATAGCTCATTGCCAAATAGGGAACTTCGAAATTTAAATTAAGTATTTATTAGAATACTTGCGCCTTCTTTTAATCCTGATCTGAAGTCATATATCTGATATGATGATGTAATGTTATAGGATACGGTAAAGAAACTTCAAAATCCCGTTATGATATATTCGGGTTCCTTTCTTTGTTTGGGTATTGGAATTAAGAAAATGCATAATAATCTCAAACAATGCGTTAGGTGTGATACATGCCATAAGATAAAGTAAGTTATATATTCGAGGCATTTTCCTGTAATTATCGAATGTAAGTAACCTTTGTGACAGAAAGTTGTAAATATTTTGTTAATCTTAACTCAGCGTACTTTTTCACAATAATATGCACAATTATGATGTTGTTTACGATTATATTGTTAAATATCGTGAATACGCATATCTGTTACAGTGTATTGCATCATCTTTGATCAAATTTGTATTGGACAGCAGATATCTCTGTAAATCTATAATTCTATCTGTAATTAAAATGCTGCAAGTTGTAGTGTACTACTGTGTTTCAAGTTTTGACTTGTATTACTCTGTAATGATCTTATGTACGTTATGTGGAGAATATTGGTCCAGCAGATACAATACGTAATGTGCACTGCTCAAAAAAAAAAAAAAAAAAAAAATGGGACAGTGCTATATCTCCCGTTCTACTGGGGCGATTCACGAAATTCAAATTGCGCTCTTCATGTCTCGAAAGCGCGACTTAGGATATATATTAGATTTATATATAGCACTATTCTAACATAGGTATTTTGACACAAAATCGGATTTTTTCTGAAATAACATACCAATTTCTTTACATATTTCGATTCTACGACTCAAATTATGCCAGAATACCAAGTTTTGTAAAAATCGTACGAATAGTTTTTAAAATATTAGCTCTCAAAATTTTAGCTCCTCAATGTTAATTGAATTGGCAAATATTTATTAATATCTCTTTTTTTATTAAACGTTTTTGATTTTTTCTCTCACATTTCGAAAAATTTGGTTTCATTCCAAATAAAATTTACCCATTTTTTTGCGTTTTATTTTTAAAATTCTATTTTTAAATAATTTCTATAGATTTTTCGAAAACAATTTGAATTATAACCTATAAAATTTTTACCATCATCTTAAAGTAGGTGTATTTTTAAGCATATCTGCAAAAAATTAGACTTTTTTATTCAAAATTTTTCTAAGATATACACAAATTTTACATATTTTCGCGTTTTGAAATTTGGCATCTTTTTTTTTTTTTTTGAGCGATAATAACGCCAAATGTGGTCTATGGATTTTTTGTTACACTGTATTGCCACAGCTATTTTTAACCTTAAATTTCAAGTAAAATTTTACAGAGAATTAATTATATGACATTTTTTCCCTCAATGATGCGTAATAAATATTTATTAATACTATATGAAAAGCTATTTTTTTAAATAAATTTTTTAAAAATTCTTTCTTTTTTTTTTTTTTTTTTTTTTTTTTTTTACAAGAGTAAATTTTTACCTTCGGCGTTTTATCGTCTGCTACTTTACTTCGTTTAAATCGAATTGTCTAAAACTGAGAATTTTCGTTTGATGTTTATTTGAATTTTATGACATTAACTGCACAATTTATTTCGAAACAAACTGATGCTTTTGCAGTGGCAAATAAAGATTTACCCGATTTTTACTATCATCCATATTTTTAAACCACAGTATATTTTTATAGAAGCATAAGATTTAGAATAATCATTTATATAAAAGCTCAATATTATGATATAAACATACAACCCTCTAGAGACTGAATTAGTGGAAGTTCAAGTGGTTTATGTAGAAATGATCTGCAGCTACTTAATGGTTGGATAAGTCAGGCAGCTTCTGTGGACAAGTAAGAATAATTATATAAACGACACCCACAACATTCTGGAATTCAATTAACTACGAGGAATACGATGTTTATTAAATGAATTCAAGAAGTTTTAAAACATAAAATATCAACTCATTTTTTATCCTAAAATGTATTTTTGAGCGTAGCGTATTTTTCATTATTCTAATTTAAAATTCTAATAATTCTAAAATTCTAATTTAGAATGTAATTGTCAAGAACTGATTCCTAATCATCAGTAATATAATAAGTAATTATTACGGTTATTAATAAATCCTTCTTATAAAGTAATTGCAAATATTTCAAAAAACTTTGTCTGAATGCAAATATTTTTCTGTGCAAATATTTTTAATTTTATATTAATCAAGATTGCACACGATATTATTTATTTGCACTTCAGTTCTTAACGTCAGTTCTAGTAGAAGTTACAAATCAATTATATTTAATTAAAGATTGGATTGGATTGGATTGGATTATTTAATTATGGCAAAGCACATGAGGGCTATCTGCCTAAAGGGATGGATGCCTTCGTGGAGGACTTTCTAAGGGAAACTGGCTCGTATACACGTTACACATCGGGAAAACCACGAAAACACCCATGCAACCAGCCTGTTCGCGGGATTCGAACCTCGGACCGAACTACCAGTGATCAGTGTCTTTACCGCTCGGCCGTTTGTGGGCCTTTATGAAATGGAAGGCGATAACTTTATTTAAAATGATTGTCAGAAATACCAAAATGTTCCGAAAAGTTGGATACTTTTTAATATACTTTCAGAATGCTTAAAGAAAAATAAATTTTTTCGTAAAATTTAGTATTTGTATTTTTTTAATTTAAAACTTTTCAATGTTATGATATTTGATTCTTGCGATTTCAAAAATAAAATATTTGACTAAAATATGAATAACATTTTAAGAAACCAAATGTAGGATAAAATTGTGTAAAGCAATGGGCACAATTATAAAACTGTTTAAAGCAGTGTATGCAAGTCATCCTAAGTTAAAATGTCGGTTATACATCTCTTATTTATATATATCTTTTCTGAACGGAACATTGAAAGGCGTGTAAAACTGTGCTTTACTGTATTTTCTCTTTTAATATAGTATGCAGTTTTCAAAACTCATCGTAGTCTGGATTACAAAGTATTCTTCCGAAAGAAACGCAGTTCAAATAAATAAAATCAAATTCTGGAAAATTGATATAATAAATATATTTAAAATGCTCAGTTCGAAGGAATAAATAGAAAATTTTAAAACAATTATCTGAAGAGACAATGCAACACAAACAATTAAAATAAAAGTATAAAAATTTAAAAATTACCTAAAATAATAACTATGACAAAAATATATATAAAGAAACTATTTGAAAAAAAAATAAACGCTGCACCTTTATTTACGCAGTTCGAATAGGTAAATAGAAATTTTTAAAACAGTTATTCGAAAAAAAAAAAAAAAAAAAAAAGTGCAACTTACACAATTAAAATGAAATTCGAAAAAGAAAAAAATACTTAAAATAATAAGTTATAATTAAAAATATAATATAGAGAATATTATTTGGAAAAAAGGAACGATGGTGACTTTTTTTCCTCTCACGAGAAAAGAAACTAGGTTGCCATATGTTAAGAAGTTCGCCAAGTGAAGTATTCTTGGCGCAAACTGACAAAAAAGTGCCAACATAAATTTGTGAATTTCTCCGTAAATTTCGCTCCAAATTTTAGATACAAAATTTCATATTTAGGCGTAATTTGAGTCGTAGAATCGAAATATGTAAAAAAATTGGTATGTTATTTCAGAAAAAGTCCGATTTTGTGTCAAAATACCTATGTTAGAATAGTGCTATATATAAATCTAATATATATCCTAAGTCGCGCTTTCGAGACATAAAGAACGCAATTTGAATTTTGTCAATCGGCTTAGTAGATCGGGAGTTATAGGACTGTCCCCCCCCCCTTTTTTTTTTTTTTTTTCTTTTGAGTAGTGTACATTGCATTTATTTTATAACAGTATGTTAGGCATAAACTTTGTTATTCTGTTTCCACTTTTATTGCAAGAGATACTGTATGTAGTGTAGATCTTAAGGAATTTTTAAGTGAATGAAATTGTAAACATATTATTAAGTTAGAACTTTAAATCTGCTGAATTTTATTAACTTAAATATTGCCATAGAAATCATGTTGTACTGCTTATTAATCATGCTGTAATTGAGGTGTATGCGCATAATTAAACAGTTCTGTTATTAACTTGTATTGTAAACTGTACTTTATCTATGTATAATTTTCTACTGCAAGTACTGCAAAATAAAGACATCACGCGTTGTTCTTTTTGAAGATTTATGTATGGTATTTGATGTGTTATTCTGTTTTATATAACTTATTTTACATTCTAATAACATTTCATGATTATTTATATATCTTGATTTATTTATTAAAAATATTTTTGCATTGTATCTGTTATTGTCGGCACAAAGACGCCGTTTTTAACTCAGCACGACAGAAATGATTCCGTTTAATTTAAATTTCTTACCTAATTTCCTTATTAGTAATATTAATGAGTTTTAAATTATATTATTTGAAACTCGTATATAAGCTTGAGCTAAGATTTAAATGAAAGAGAGAGATTTTAGCTATATCTAGATATCTTGTAGACATTGAGAAAGGACTGAAGCTGTTTGATATTTTTTGTTTGTTTTAGATTTGCTGCATCCTGCAGTGCTTTCAACTGCGAATTTTTTTCGGAAGTTAAAATGTTGTATCTGCCCTTATATAGTGTTCGTGAAGTCTAAAGTACATAAAATATTTCTGTTGTATTCAATAAATAGCCTGTGGAAACTCTTAGTTATTTATTCGTTCATGTGTTTGATTATGTGTGAATAAAATATGGTTGAATTTTATTTCTTCAAATATTAATGGATTCGGTATTACTGGAGATGGTAAGGCAATAAAAATCCGCCTTTTATTTGTGAATCTACAGGACTAATTTCGAAGGTTTTTTACGCAGAGCTCCTTCTTGAACTGCAAAAGATCAAATATCATTATATTATTGTTTGTCTTATCACGTTAGTAATCGTTGCTCGGTGTGTTATTTTAACTCAGATTCGGTATTATTGCTAATATTTAATAATATGAATCTTCTTGAATGAATAAGTTAACTGTTCAATAAATCCAGCTTTTTTTTTTTTTTTTTTTTTTTTTTTGTTGTTTTTTGTTTTCACATAATGACGATAAATCTCTTCAATCAGTGACTAAGTAAGTATTAAGTATTACTATAAATGTCAGACACTGAAAGAAATTAATTAATTGTAGACTTGATTAAACTCATTTGCACTGAATATATTCTAGAACTTTTTAAAATAACGTTTTAACGCTGCAGCTAGTGTATGAGACTTGCTTCTTTGTAATAAATTGTGAAATCGCTCAGAGGCTTTCTGCCTAGAAGGATTCTTTCGTGGAAATTAGCTCGTATTCATATTATATATGAACAATCCACGAAAAATTATTGCGATACTTCTGTGTATTTTTTCTAGATTCTGGTAATTAACAATTAATTCTTTTTACTTCCTTCTCTACGAAGTGATGGAAATACTGTAATCGCGAAAAATTTGGGATATCATATTTCAACAGAAATAGCCGTTCATTTGGACGATTTTTTTTTCCTTAACATCTGTACATACGGTCAGAATAAAGAATCTTTTATTCCAAAACGGCTTCTAATTTTGATATAAAGTACCTTCAAAAGGGATTTGTTCGTGACGTCTGTACGTATGTATGTAACTCGCAGAACTCAAAGTCGATTAGCCATAGCACGTTAAAATTTTGTA